AGCATGACATATAGGCTGGAAGGCATTGGTGAATATATCTTGGCTGACGATGAGGACATGATGTCGATGTTTGAAATGTTTGAAATATCGCACCAGAGTTGTTTTATATGAGCGTCGTAGTTGGTTTATGCAAGAATCGAAATAAATGTCTGTTGTGGTCGAGTTCATGAGTTTGATCCATATTGATAGTTGGTTTATTTGTTTACAATAGTCGATTTTAGTGTGCTCGGTAGTACATTAAAATATATGGCGTAGTCTTTTTAATTTAGTGTATGGATTTTGCATTTTAAGTTTATTTTTGATGATATTAATATATTGTCATTCAAATGTATTTGCAGTCTATTTAATCATTTTTTAGTATTCTGCATTTTTAATTTTGTTTCATGATTTTAGGTTTTTTCGATGGCGAATTTCGTACGGATTTTGTTGAGGTTTGGTGGGTTGGTTGCTATAGAGAGGTGTTTACGATGTAATGGCTCGGTAACGTCGGTTAAGTGCTAAACCGTTGTAATACAGTAGTAAACTATTATGAATACCGTATGATACTACCATTATCATTTTATTATACTATTATGAGATTATTAATGTACTAGAGTTTTTTAACTCGACATATTGGTTTGATTGTGTTATGATGTGTTTTAAGTATTTTATCAAAACCCTAGATTGAAATTATGAGATTATTAATGTACTATTTTATTGGTTATGTTGGAATACTTTACGTTGGTTTTGTTCTCAATGTTCTTGTCATTTCAGTGGTATATTGTTTGTAACACAATTTCATATCACTACTATAACCGTAATATACTATCATAGCAGATTAATGTACTATATTGAAATTATTAATATACTATGTGGTTGAAAAATACGGGATCCATAGTCGATTAACGAGATCCATAGTCGAATTAGATCAATGAGATAGTCTATTACATGCTATGGGATAGTCTAACAATATTAAAACACAAATCCGCCGCCATCACTTATCAGATCTAGGATTTTGTTGATTCTTCGGCCCAATAGTCAAATAACTAAACCCATAGTCGAATTAGATACATGGGATAGTCTATTAAAGGATATGAGATAGTCTATTAATTTTAAAACACAAATCCGCCGCCGTCACTTCTCAAATCTAGGGTTTTGATGATTCTTCGGCCCATAGTCGATTAACGAGATCCATAGTAAAATTATACTAGTGGGATAGTCTATTAAATGATATGGGATAGTATATTAATACAGATGTAATTCGACTATGCATCTCGTTAATCAACTATGGGCCGAAGAATTATCAAAACCCTAGATTTGAGTAATCCTAGATTTGAGTAAACCCTAGATTGGAGCAGTGATGGCGGCCAACGACGATATCACTTCTGGTGGATGTCCTGCCCATCAATTGTTGCAATATCACTGATTTAGTGCTCGAATTCGGTATGCGATTATAACAGATCTGCAATTATACAAACGTGATAGTCGATTTAGCCAAAACATATCAACAAATCGATGGACAATAGCGATGCAGCGAGCGGCGAAGACGTACCTACGGCGGCTTGCTCGGAGTGCACGAAAATCGTCGTTTCACGGCAGTGCAGATTGTTGGGTAACGGGCACGTGTACGCAGCGGAAAACAAAAATTTTATGCGATTTAAACAAATTTAAAACACATAAACACATGCCCGATAATTAAAACAATTAATTGCATACCTTTGCGCTTCCAGCGAAATTAAAAACAACATACATGCTAATTTATTTAACCGAATTTAAATCAATTAACATGCTCGCGTTTAAACCAAATAACATGCTCGCAACAATTAAAACGATTTCACGTAACCACATCAAATCATACGAGAACGAACATGAATATATTTTTTAAACGTAAACGAATCAAGAACATTGAATTCGTGTGTTTACCTCTTGAAGCGTGAGGTAAGAGCGCTAAGCAAGTCGAGATTGCTACGGAAACCAATCCGTACAATCCGGGGCAGCAGCGGTGAAGCGGCGAGACAGGCCACGGCGGCGCGTGAATCTCACACGCGGTCTTCGGGGCGGCGCGTGGGGTTGCGTGCGGCTTCGGCTCGTGTGCTGCTCCTCGATTCTTCGATCTTCGGTCTTTCTCCTCTCGGATTTCACCTCGCATACTTCGATCTACTAAACACGTGACACTAGAAAAGTAATAGTTAGAAATAACGGAAGAAAAAGAAAGAAGAAAAGAGTACCGAAAGGGATCGGCCAATTGATGGCCGATTCCGGCGACGATCCGACGATGGCGGCGGGGTGGTGACTGAGAGAGAGAGAGTGACGGCTAGGGTTAGGGTTAGGGTTCTCTTGTATGCAAGACCTATAAATCTTGTATTTATAGTGCCTTGCATAAAACCCTAGCGGGCTTAAGTTGGACCGGGCCCAACAGCTTAAGTTCGCTAGTACTTTTACTTGCTCGTTTCTCTCAATTCAATGACCGAAAAATTTCAATGATTATATTTTCGGAATCATTATAAAGTCCTCGTCATTACGAGTGCCAACTCTCAATTTCCAACTTTCCAAAAGTGGAAACCCTAGTTCAGTGCACTTTCTAAATTTGGAAACTTCCCGATTTAGAAAGTCCACTACAATGTTCGCCTATTCTTTTCCTTTTCTTATTCTCATTCGTAATTCCAAATTACGAATTTTGGACCCAATCGTATTGAATTCCAATCATGCAAAGATAAACTATTTTATCTCTGACCGTTTATTCAAAGATCTCATGTGCACGAGCAGTGTGACCCTCGATGGTTCAGGTGTAAGCTAGCCGTGGGCCCACAACCCTTTGTGGTCAAAACTCGTCCCTTAGAGTTACGATTAAGATGAAGCTCGTTTCACCTTAATCACCCAACGAATCAAGATTGGCGTCTAGCAACTACGCGTCATGATTCCCTAGATACAAATGAAGTGCCTGCAAGAACCTTCAGATATAGTTAACGTACAGTACGGTCCCTTCGATACATATGTCCCGATCGAACTAGAGGCATTGGTTCATCGAGACCTCTTTATATGTTCGATGACGGTGCGATCCTTCCAAGTGTTGTAATCGTCACGTGCATGACTTAGAGAATCGAATTCTCCAATCATCACTTAGTTAGCTCTGGCCAGAGACTTAGAATGATTACAAACTTTCAGAATACACAGGACATCCAAGACTATTCTAGCGATCGAATCCCCGACTACAATGCACAGACCTCCCACTAGATTTCGGACTGCACGAACACTGGCCCTTGGGATGGTCCTCGGTGGAACTCAGGGACAGGTCACGATACAGCTGGTCCTCTAGTGAAGTCACGGTGATGTCTAGGTCGTAAGGACTAATGGTGTACAACTATACCATAGATATCTCTACTCGATTATTGGGAACCACTTAGAGATTTCTAGAGTGAGGGAGTTCAGTGAACTCGTCAACTTACGAGCACCCACTTATGCATGCCGATATCACAATACCGTTTACTGATGAGATGCAGTACACATACACTAAGTGCTAGTCTTAATGGGAAAGGCCGATATCCTCATTAGTGGTGTAACCCTTCGACTAGGAACACGTTTAACAGTTATAATACTTAAGTAAATATCTCACGATCCTAACGATCAATTACTAGTTCTTGTAATAACTGTAAGGACTATATCTATGCTTGTGACAAAGGGACAAAGATATAGAATGCCAAGGTGTTTTATCATTAATATGAATAAAGGTTCGTTTATTACAATAATAAATACGAAAGACCACAGCCACATGTTGGCTTGTTGGTCACCTACTCTAACACAGATTTCTTCCCCTTTCAATCGGCCGTACCGGGAAGTGGTTCTGGGAGGTTTTGCAGTTTATTTGATAGTGGTTTTGGGGTGATAGTGTTTTAACGGGAAAATAGGGAGAGATTTGATATTATTTCAAAAGGTAAAGTAACGGGATTTGTGGGATTTGATTGAGGGTAATTATGTAATTAAAAAAAGTTTGGGCTTTTATCAAAATGACAAATTTAAGTTTGGGTCTACCCCTATTATTTGAATGTTTAAGGGGTTATATCTAATAGACCCATTCATTAATACATTTACTTTAGCGTGATAAACTCTGAGAATCAGTTTTTTTTTTTCTAATAACTACGCATAATATTTTTAAGTTCAAGTTTTGGCAGGATTGCTTATTTTGAGCGTATCTCCCTCGATTAATGTCCGATTTCAGTGATTCAAGATGTTTCAGACAACCAACAAAAAATCCCTACAACTTTCGTGTTTTACACATTCTCAGAATATGATTATATCAGCTCCGAAATTTGACTCAAAGTCTTCCCTCGTGAATTGTACGAAAATTCACCTTTTTATCATCAAAAGCCTATTTTGGATCATCGTCAAAGCTCATCTTCATGGGATTGAAATTCGTCTTAAATTGTTGGAACCACAGCTGCACTTTGACGATTGATCACCGAATTGGCGGATTGAAGCTCGTCTTCTATTTGCTTCATCCTTACATAGTTGATAATTAGCTGCAATAATATACACAATAATATGGAGATAGGCAAGGTGAGGCGCGGACTAGGTCGCTTTCTTAAGACGAATTTCACGATCCCTTCTCTAATGAGGTGCAAAAAGGTTCCGATCGTGTCGCCTATGGGATACAACAACCCAGCCTATTTCTCCGCTGTAACTTCACCGAAATTGCACGTTCAAGTGAAGTAGAAGCTTACACCCGACAACAAGAGCTCAACATACGTGTATATAATATAGAGGATATATGATCTTTAGAAATATAATTAAAGGAAAATATTGAGGTTTTATGAGACAAAATAAAATTTTTGGAAGTTTCAAAATATTGTTCGAAATGACCTCATAAATTGGTCAAATAAAATATTTAATAAAATATTATTTTTATTAAAAAAAGCCCAACAAAATCGAAGAAGAAGGACGTGTGGACCACCACCACCAGGAAGGGGAAGAAGAAAACCAAGCATGCATCAAACAGCAGCCACAGTTCCAAGAACCCCACATACGGCCACCCCTTAGCCGAAGATAGAATGTTGATTTCCCCGGTACCGAGATTCCCGGACAAAATCGACGATAGCCCGGACTCGAGAATCTGCCTCTCGAAGGTCCACAAGGCGGAGAAGGTCGAACTGAGCGATGATAGAATGACCGCAAGCAGCACAAAGGGGTACAGAATGGTGAGGGCGACGCGGGGAGTGGTCGAGGGCGCGTGGTACTTCGAGATTAAAGTGGTGCGCTTGGGAGAGACGGGACACACGAGGCTCGGGTGGTCCACCGATAAAGGGGATTTGCAGGCACCCGTTGGATACGATGGCAATAGTTTTGGATATAGGGATATTGATGGGAGTAAAGTGCATAAAGCATTGAGATACAAGTATGGGGGTGAAGGGTATAAAGAAGGTGATGTTATAGGGTTTTATATCAATTTGCCGGATGGAGGGGCCTACGCCCCCAATCCTCGGTGCTTGGTTTGGCACAAGGGGCAGCGGTATGTGTCTGCTCCCGATGCAAAGGAGGAACCCCCAAAGTTGTTCCGGGTGAGTGCTTTATGTTATCTGTTCTTTAGGAGGATTGTGGACTTAGGTTTGATGATTGTGAATTTCATTTTGCTTGATTTAAGGTGTGCTTGTTATTTGCTTATTTGCGTAATAAGTTTTAAATATCGGCATAGCCCTCTCCTTCAACTTGAGAATGAAAAAGAAGAGCAATCTGTAAGCTACGAGAATGGCTGCAACTGCTGCCAGGTCCCACCATTTCGAGTGATCAAGTGTTATGCCTATCATTGAGGTTAGTACTTCTTCCCCTTTCAGTTTTGGTTGGTCGGGATAGAGCGAATCGAACTCGATCCCAATCATGTCGTTTTTGTAGGCTCCCTATATGTAACAAATCCAGTGAAAAAAAAACAAGGGAAGTAAAAGATTTAGTATGTTATATTTACGACTGATTAAACTATTTACCTGTAAAGCCCATGACATGTAGTTGATATAGAAAACGGGATATGTCCAAAATATCTTAGGAAGTTCGGGAAGGAGCCGGAAGAAACCTGCTGTAGCCATCATTATACCCTGCATTAACATGTAACGGTTAGTTTAGAGAGAGAGAGAGAGAGAGAGAGAGAGAGAGAGAGAGAGAGAGAGAGAGAGAGACATTATACCCTGCATTAACATGTAACGGTTAGTTGAGAGAGAGAGAGAGAGAGAGAGAGAGAGAGAGAGAGAGAGAGAGAATAAGGAAAAAAAAAAGGAAAGAGGACTTACGATTAGACCAGCTCCGAGTATGACCCCCATCATGAAGGTCGAGCTCTGCATACACGAAATGAAATATTCCAGGGTGAAACTTCACCATGAAATAAGTGATGGATGCTGAACTAAGCGATATTGCAATCAAGAACGGAAACGAAGAGAGGAAATTCGAAAGAATGAACACTCCGACTCCGTAATGTCCGTTGAGCCTTTCCTTGTAAAATACCTGTTTATTAGAAACAGAGAAAAAAAAATTATATGCTTCTTCTCCGAAGATGATATTATTTGAATGGTAAGTGGGACCGTTTTTTTTTTTTTACCTTCATTTCTTCGATGAATGATGGGAAGCCTCCGATTGTCATGAATGTCATAAAGCTGGATATAAATCCACCGCAGGCTCCCCTTGCTAGAATTGCGTGATAATTGGATCCTACGTTGTGAAAAACGGAACCGACACAGATGGATACTGTAATGAACACTATGATTCTTAGCCAGTAATACCCGAAATCTCGGGACATGTTTGTGAACGATCGCTTTGTGAGTGTGGAAAGTTGCTTAAACCATGTCGCCTGGTAGTATCATACGGTATTCATAACAGGTACGTCCTGAAATATTTTCTCTCTCTCTATCAGATCGAGTTTTTTTGAAAATTTGCACCCCTTATTTGCCGTGTCTGTGTACATATCAAATCTTGTGGTTTGAAAAATAACAACCATCGGAATCATTTGAATTCATTGAGTTTATGTCCTCGTCGCTATCATCAGGAATGCATTCGACTTCTTCTTCGAACAACTGCACAAAGCCTGCATTCAATGCCTCACTTCCAGTGGCATCAACGGCTCCAACTAGTTCACCCCCACCCCATGTTCCATCATCATCAGAAATAACAACTTCAGCGTCATATGAACCTAAAATCATGAAACGAACTTAAAAATGCTGAATACTAAAAATGATTAAATAGACTGCAAATACATTTGAATGACAATAAATTAACATCAACAAAAATAAACTTGAAAATGCATAATCCATACAATCAGTTAAAAAAGACTACGAAAATGTATTTCAATGTACTACCGAGCACACTAAAATGAACTGTTATAAACAAATAAACCAACTATCACTCGATGCGTAAACCAACTACGATTCTCATATAAAACAACTCTGGTCCGACTGCGTGAACCATCCTCTGCCAACTCTGTGAATCCTCTTCGAAACAAACATCATCAGCCAAAATAAGGATGTATATGTGACGACGTAATTTTTTTAAGAAACGATCTACTTTACTACCAATATAATCAACGTATCAACACAAATCTTAAAATCTCTACCCACCATAACACAACAACCCCCGCACAAATACAACGAAAATAAAAACGAAAAAAAAAAGTTCATACCCGCTTAACGACGGACAACGATGAACGCTCAGATCCGAACCTACCTCCACACCGGTGAAAACTTCTTCAAAGCCGATGGAAACGATGAATGGATGGAGAAATTCTTCAAAACCGATTGTACGCGTTGTGATAATAACGACACCGCCAATATACTCACGTAATTTCATACCGTGATTTTAGGCAACGTATCAGCAATCTCATATCACGTAATTAAGGAAATAAATGCCGTTCAAAAATAAATCAGGGGTATTAAAGGGAAGTTAAATAATATATTGTGCTAAGTTGGCATATTTGGGTGTATATCAAAAATGGAAAAATTAATTGGATCTACCTCATTAGAAAATATGAACAAGGGGTTATCCCTAATAAACCCCCAAAACAAAATGGTTTGGAGGTGCATTTAATTAATTGATTATGGTGCATTTATATATTATGGTTTTATTCGGACCAAAATATATTTCAAATCTTCTCTACTTAAAGATTCGTGTTCGTACAAGCTTGTGTAAGTATTTCTTTACTCCATTTTTTTATTTTTATTTTTTATTTTTTAATTTTTTTTAGCTCGTACGTGATTAATTGCCTATTAACGTTTACGTGTTTCGTATGGTTTGATAACTAACTGTAGTATTCGTATTTCGTGTGGTTTGTTCACTGCTACATAAACTCACAGCTGTGCACAGTGCACCTATATATTTATGATCAATAAGTAAGTGAAAATTAGGGGCGTAATCTATATCTATATAATATATAAAGAGAGAATACACAATTGAAGTTTTGACATCTTCAATTTTGGTCCTAAATCTTTTCATCTCTTTTATTTGTGGACTTCTTTCCTTAATTAGTCCTTATTACATTTTGTCTTATTTATTATTTAACTTATTTCAAAAAAATGATTTCTTTATTAATATTTTTCATTTCATTCAATATGAAAAAACGGATTGTAATAACGGGTTTATGGTAATCAAATAATCACGTTATTTTAATTATGGAAATTTTGTAAATGTCACACGATTTTACTAATAATATATTCTTTATAGTTAATCAATATTTTCCGTTTTTAATATGAAAAGGAAAGACAATGATTATGGAAAACTATTTTAATATGAACCGGATTAACAATATTTTAGTCTGCTAATTCATCCCCGTGCATAACATATAAAAATCACCAATTCAATATTATGGAAAATATATTAATAAAATATTGAATTGGAATGACGTATGAAGATGGAAAATCAATAACGGATGTGATAAATGATTTCGGATTGGGGCAAGTAATCAATAATTTTCTCAATTAGCTCCAATCTTATCTGGATTTTCTCAATAATTGTATCAATTTAGTACATTAAAGGTGTATTTCCTTTTATATATATATATATATATATATATATATATATATATATATATATATATATATATATGTATATTATTTATTTTTTATTACCAAAAACACAAATATAAATATCTCACTCCAAATCCGTTCTTACTCATTCATATTCTCCATCCAAATATTAAGAAGCACACGAAAACAAACAAGGGTATATACTCTAATGCCGTTTTCTCATTTATTTATTTATTTTCGCATTGTTTATATATTATTGTCTATACCCTAAAAATATTTTGATTTTTCTATGGTTTTCTGTTTAAAATTTATAAATTTCCTTTACATTTGATGATTATGTTAGTATTTTGGGTTTTATTTTTTACAAGATCTTCGAATCATGTCTTTAGCAAAAAGATTTATGTGCCGAAATTTATGGAGGAATGTCCGTTGTGGTATTACAAGGAGACATGAATAGTTCCGATACCGAAAATTGCATGGAATCGCCTTCTTCGTTTCTGGCGAATAATGTGTATGTTTTACATATTTTTTTATATTGTTTTTGGATTACAATTTATGGGAAAATAAAATAACATCGAAATTAATTATGTTTGTTTGCTCTGTACTTTTATAGATCCATTGATAGCAACGTATGTGTCATATACGGCGACATCGGCGCGAAGAAGCCTTGCGTTGTTATATACAATGCAAGGATAGGATCCACATATATTGTTGGATGGATTGTTAAAAAAAATTAATTTTGATTTTCAATCTGTGGATTTGCAACATTTTGCTTCGACCTTTGAATTTGGTTTTTGAACCTAATTATTATCTTCTGATTTTGAACTATATATCAAATATTGTTTGTTTTATGCGATCAAAGTGTTTTGTTTTCATACACGCTAATTCTTTATATTTCGCGTAACGGCACTTTCACCCTAACTTGGGGTCAATTTGTAATTACACCAGTTTGAGTAGCAGGCTCTAGCTGGGGCCATTTAATAATTTCATAATTTTGGTTTTCCTTAGGTAGTTTATTATCTCACTTTCACCCCATCATGGGGTTTTTATAGTCTTGCTTTTTAACCCCATTAGGAGGTTTTTATTTAAAATTCTGCTTAGGATTTAATTCGTTTTGCAATTTAATAAAATTTTAATTGTACTAAAACAAACTACCAAATATTATCGTCATATTTACAACTATATTTCAAATATTATTTGTTTTATGCGATCAAAGTGTGTTTTTTTTTCATACACGTTAATTCTTCATATTTAGTGTAATCAAACCAGAGATCCTGACTTGGGGTCAATTTGTAATTTCACCAGTTTGACTAGCAACTCTAGCTCGGACCATTTTATAATTTCAGTAATTCTGTTTTACCTTAGTTAGGTAGTTTATTATCTCACTTTCCCCCTATTAGGGAGTTTTTATATTTTCTATTTTTCACTCCTATTAGTGGGTTATATGTATGCCTAAATTAAAATAATATATATTGGCTTAATTATATGGGATAACAATGAAACAATAATTATATTAAAAATAATATTGTTTCTATAGATAATAATCCAATATTAATCATTGTTAACCCAATTTAATCAAGTAGATATTCTTACGACCCTTCATTAGCATTAACATAGTCGATTAGTATTACCATTAGCATATTAGTATTAACATAAGTATATTAAGATTAGTATTAGCATTGGCATTAGCATAGTAGTAATACCATTACTATATTAGTGTTAGAATTGGCATTAGTATATGAGGATTAACATTAAATTACAATTAGCATATTTTTAGTAGTATTAGTATTATTGTATTAGTTTAGGATCAACATTAAGATTACGATCAAGATTAAGATCGAGATAATGATTAGGATCAGGATTACAATTATGATTATGATTAGAATTCAGATTAGGATTATGATTGTGATTAGGACTATGATTAGCATTGGCATTAGCCTTTTATGACGAGCATTAGTATTAGCATTATCATATTACTATTAGCACTAGCATATTAGTATAAGCATTAACATATTAGGATTTGTATTAGCAATGTCATTAGGATATATTAGTATTAGAATTAGCATATTATAGTTATAAACTAATAATAAACATTAGCATATAAGGATAAACATTAAATTACCATCAACATATTAGCATTAGTATTAGTATTATGACTAGGATTATGAATAGTACTTAGATCACGATGAGGATCAAAAGTAGCATTAGAATTCGTATTAGGATTAAGATTAGTATTAATAATATGATTAACATTAGGATTATAATTAGTATTAGTATCATAATTACAATTATATTAGAATTATGATTAGGATTACCATTGAGATTAAGATTAGAATTACCATTGAGATTAGGATTAGGATTCTGATTAGGATCAGAATTATGATCAACATTAGGATTAGGATCAGGATCTTGATCATGATTAAGATTAAGATTATGATTAGGATTGTGATTGGGGATAAGATTCGGATTATAATTTATAGTAGGATTAGGATTAAGATTAACATTAGCGATAATATATGAGTTTAGTATATCAGACTAGTACGTGCAGCTAGTTGCGTGTTCTTCTGGTGGTTATGTTCAATTTTTTTTTCTTTTT